TGTGTGTGTGTATATATATATAAGAGCCTGACTTCGTTTTTGCCGGTGCTGCATTGTGTCCGCACTGGGTGTGGAGATCTATAGGGCTCTACTCTACGGGCTCTTGGTGAAACACTAGCGCTGTACTCCGTTCGCTCCGCTACCAATTTGGAACGAATGTCGGCTTCCGGAGTTACAGAACGGAACATGTAGCACTTCTTTTCGACTTGAACTCAAGGCGTCTGCAACAGGTAAGGTTTCAATCATGCGCTGTGTCCTGCTAGTGAAGCTACTACTGCATCTATGCTCCTAGACAAAACGCTGCAGACATGTTTCCTGATCTGCGGAAGTCAACACGGCTTCTTCCACAATGGCACGAAAAACGTAATTTCACAGTCCGTAAATCCAACATGTGGCTGCCAGAGGCCTGCCTAAAGGACCAGATTGAGTGAGTGCCACATGACAAGCACGTCAACATGCTTTTGAATGCTTTGGCTATGCAGATTGGTGACCGGTTGGACAAAACGAAGCACTGATCTCGAAAGCTGACGGGTTTCGGGATTCAATGACCACAGATGAAGCGTTTGTGTTTACTGCTGCTTTCCGGGCACGGGGCAATCTATGGGTACACGACTAGACAGACAACATGCCTGCAACACGTCGGTTGTGCGTCTACGGCCTGCGGGACATCTAAAGGACGATCCTGGTATATACATGAATGTACACATATATTTATATATCTGTGTATATACATACAATATTATATATATATATGTGTGTATGTATATACAGACATGTATGTCATGTTGAAGCCGGTCCGAGGTGCCAGGACAGCGACTCCCAGCAGGCTTCTGCTCCTGGAAGCCTTCATTGCTCTCTCCTCTGACCTCCCCGAAATGCGTGGGGGCAGGGGCGGAGGCAACAACTGACATCAACATGCCCTCCAACAAGAGCCTCGACGCTGAGCAGGTCTCACGCCAAAGCGCCCCCACACAGGCACAAAACCACGTGCGGGATGGAGTTTGAGCTCAACTGCTGGTCAAGGAGATCATGAAAATGCACCGCTATCTCTGGGCAAACGAAACTTTATGTGCTGCATGGTGTCAGTCGGTCAACGACATGCTTCTCCAGACTCCAGCTCCAAAGACTACGCATGCTCACTTCGAGGATCACAGCTCTCGCCCAGAACTTGCATCCTTTTGTCATATTTATCCTTTCTCCGCTTCTCTCCGCCTACTACTACTACTACTACTACCACCACTACTACTACTACTACTACTACTACTACTACTACTAGGCTCCATTACCCTCGTTTGCCGCACTCTGGGGTGGGGTTGGGGGGGATGGGGGGGATGATGACGACATTGGTACACAGACACCCCGAACAATATCTCCACAAGAGCCGTTTTACTCGGTATTTACAGTGCTTTCGTGATGGCGGACTAAAAAAGGTCGCATTTCGGTAAGCACGGAACAGAAAAAACTTGATGTTTTCACCGACGAAAAAATCGACGCAGAAAACAACCTCTCTTCCAAAGCAAACCAAACGTTCACACTTCTTCACACATTCCTGCAAAGACCCAGAATGTGATTAAAACCCAGGCAAAAACACAGTTTTAACATGACCACCCTCTGTATGTTGCTCTGAAGCACATCCCTAAGCACTCGTGTGCAGAGCCGTTGGCGCGGCAAACGAAGTGAATGGACCCTACTACTACTACTACTACTACTACTACTACTACTACTACTATACTACTACTACTACTACTGCTACTCCTATAGCTGTACTACGACTGCCTACAGCCAGTGGCTGAGGAAATTGCGCAAGAGAAATCACCTCTGCAGCTATCGCAGATTATGTTAGTGTTGTGCATAGCGCAGCGATGTCTCACGGGATTATCAACAGAAGCCGTCCGATCTCACAGTGGCTGTCGTGATTGGCAAGCAACGGCGAGCCAGCTTATGGCTTATGCCGGCTTATCCTGCAGTCAACGAGATGTCATCAACTGCGTCCAGCACGTTCATGTCTGGACATCTCTGGAAGTCAGGATGTCAACACCTGGTGCTTCTCGGATTCTTGCAGTAACCTGCGCCGCATCTTCCGGTGCCCTCTCGCCCGTATGCCCGGACCATCCCGGACCCTCTCTTCACGGGACTGGACTCAGGACCCCCGCGATGCCAGGGACGTCCAGACTCGTCAAACTTCACGTGCCTGTCTGATGATGGTGCCATGATAGCCATGGAGTGGACCCCGGCCAGTGTCAGACTGCCTGCCTCGCTTGAACGAGGGGACTGCGTCCGTTCAAGCCTCAGATGGCATGCCCCTCTGTGACTAGTGAGTAGTGTCGTTGCAGCACAAGCAAGCAGTTGGTATTTGATAAGGTATAACTATCAGACACTGTCAAGCGTACTCTACGGCACTTGGTATGCACACTGAGCGCAGCACGGTGCGATTTCAAGTTCTTGCTGAACAGCCATCCACCCCTTGCAAGCTCAGTTGTGTTGTACACGTGAACCTCTCCAGCTACAGCAGATTTTGCAGGCGTAAATCACAACGCACAATCATGCGCGTTTTCGGCCATCTTCCTTCGGAAGGCATCGTGTGATCAAATCGGCGGTGAGAACGGGCACGAGACGACGGGTATTCTTGCGCCTCCAAATACATGCATGGTGGTAGGCAGGCGAACAACAATGTCAGAACTGGTTGAAACTGCTAGTATACTTAGATACACTTCTAGCTGTGAGGCTGACAGTCGGGGCATCGATGGCTTGCGGTCGGAATTCCACCAACTGCAAGCGCTTGCAGGCGAATTGGTGCATAAACGTCGCCATGCTGGGGTTCTGGTGTATTATCTTCCGGAGTATTTTCTCCGACGTGTCCTAGCTCGACCCAACCCCCAGTGGCAAAGATTGTCAGAGCCTATCTGCCTGGCATGTGCACTAAAAACTTTCCAGCCTTGCCGATCCCCCGAGAGCGCCACGGGCTGCTCTTCCTGTGCTGGGCACCATTCCGGTCCATCTGGCGCTGGTCCCTATGGAGCTCCCGATACGCTGGAGACACACCATAGGCGCGAAGAACCCCGTGCCTTGAGTGCAGCGCCGGGCTACGTGCCTCGACTCCGCGATTCAATGGGCGCCCGGCAAGAGACGCATCGCTGGTGATGCCTGTACGCATTGGCGGCGGAGACCGATGTTCTGCATGTGCGTGATGTGGACGACGTGCCGTGTGTACGGGTGCTGGCGCCACACCATGCGCAGCCAGGCTCGTCAGGTGTCTTCCAGGCTTTCCCGAAATCCCAGGCGGCGGTGGCACACTCGCTTGCGGAAGCGGAGGGTTCGCCAACAATCCTGACAGCTTCTGAAACTCAATTGGCTACCGGGCATGCCGTAGGAGGGCAGTGCATGCGTTTGCGTTGCGAATCACCTAGCTGCTTCAACTAGTGCACAGTTTCTCGAAACATGTTTGTTTCTGAGGGGCGCGTCTATAAACTTCCGCAACAGCCCGCGCAAGGGGACTGCAGCCCCGGCGTAATTCTTTTTACACCCCACGAACAACCGATAAATCCCACATGGAAGCCCAAGATCGTCTTATCGGCTAAACTACCCCCCGGTCCCGATGAGCCAGATAATGGACGGAAGTGGACTCTTGAGAGCTATCTTCGGATGATGATGCACCAAATAAATGGGCTGCAAGATGCTGCAAAAGAATACCGCATTGTTGCGGGATACATTTTAAAGGGAGAGCGGATAAATTCTGCTGAAATGAGGAAGCAACTTGCCTGCAGCCAGGGCTCTTGGGACTTTGCCCCGGTCCTCTTGCAACGAGGCAATTCCCTTGATCTGCGAAGCTAAAGGCACTTCGAGGGCTCTCCAGTTGATGGCCTTGTCCTCAGTCTACTTCTCCGTTGAATCCAGCATTCTGTGGTCGCATGAACTAGGGACTGGGCATGCATTGATAGGCATCGCTCCAATTCAGAGGCTTCTCTTGGACTCACCTGGCAACGGCGGACTAAAATTTTCGACGAAGGTCGAGGAAAGTGCATGTACACAGTGCCGCCCGTCCCCAGCAAACCCCCGCCTGCCCGTCGCAGGAGGCAGTGCGTTCACGCTGCCGCAGGGGGCGGTTGTCCCAGTGCTCGAATTCATCTGTTTCCTGCGAGGTGGCTGCAGCTATTATGTCCCGGAACATACCTAAGCAAACTTCACCGCTACAAAAGCTAACATCCCACATGGCTCAGCGAACCCACGACAAGAAGGCAAGTCGGCAAGCCCCTCAACCTGCTTTAATCACAGATCCAGTGATCCTTGATGGCCTCGTGGTTCCCCGGCAGTCTGTGGGCTGCATCTTTTTTGCTCATGCAATGGCAACAGTGGTGTCAAGCAAGCGTAGAAGTCATTGGACATGCACTACACAACTGCAAGGAAAGAGAAATCGGGCACTGTTGCAGGCAATCAATTCCCAGCAGGAATGAATAGAAACCTAAAGGTGTCGTCTTGAATCTACCTTCAGCCTCTCCTTTGCCCCCGGCGCCCAAGCTTGCATGATTCGCAATGGCCCATGATCTTGCACTGGCCTCGGTTCGGCTGGCACCGTCTAATCGCTTCAACGAGCTGAACTCCAGGCAACATTGACATGTCAAGAGCCCATGGCCAGGCTGCATCTCCGAGGTGGCACCAAGGAGGAAGGCTCGATCTCCGAGCCTTCGTGAGGTGACGAAAGTTGAAATCTTCCAATGGGACACACGCGTGGCGCGCTTGAACTGAGCGGTGTCATCAGGGCCGTGACCACATCTGCATAGCATTTTGCAGGACCCCTGGATCTCCACCCTCACAAACGACAATACTCATGAAGCCAGCCGTTCTACAAGCGGTGGTTTGTTCGTAGTGGTTTGCCATCTCCTCGCGTGAAAACGAATTCGACGAAACTCTTTGTTGCCCTGGTAACCCGATGGCTAGTTTGATCTTTCAGCTTTCCATCAGCACCCACAACCATGCATGTAATTAATCACAAACACAAGCGCAGGTCCACATGCAAACAGAGCCTGTAGCTGCACATATGCAGATGGTGGGCAGAACTATTTAAACGGATACGAAGACGGCAGAGACATACATAAAGAGGTAGATCGACCCATAGATTGATATACATGCAGCACACATTCGCACACAAAGAAACATGAAATCTATACATATAGGTACACATACGCACGGACGTGCCTGCGAATATATCTGTACATAATATAAACAGGTATATACACAAAAACGTATACATACAACTGCAAATATCAGTCGTCGAGACAGGAAGCTGTTCATCATACAACGGTGCAGCTCACGCACGCACAACACTTGTATGAATAAATGAACACCTGTACATACACACATACATACATACATACATACATACATACATACATACATACATACGCATGTGAATGAATGAACATGTATGTACACATGTCGATGTGTATATGTATTTGTATAATGTGATAGGTACACACCTTTAGATGCACACATACATGGCGAGACACATGTCACAAACTCACTGGAACATCAAACAATGCATAATAGCACCCATTACAAACATGCTTGTTCAACTCATGCCGTTGCATTGGTTGCGGTATGTCGGGACTTGCACTGCTGCACTATGCAACCGTACAGTTTTCTGGAGCCTGAGCATACTGTTCGAGTGTTTGATGTCTGAGCAGTAGGGCAGGCAAATATCTAGCCGATAGGGAACAAGGGAGAGAAGAGGCCTGCAGGCGATGATGTATATTCGTCTGTGCTGACATACGAACCGATCTGGCGTGTAGCTACGGGCCGCGCCGTAAAAGCAAAAAAAACAGTTGCCATTCTGTCAGGTAGCTGCCCCTGTGGCTCGCTTGGGAGACTCTTGCGCTGAGCCAAGATGTGGTCGTTGCGCAAGCGGAGTTGTTCACGAAGCATCACAATCCTTGTGGGCGTTTAACGACTAATCGCTTCCCCGTAATATGAAATGCCCCCCCCTTCCTAATATTAAACCTGAAATCCGGCGGTTTGGTTTTAATATTAGGGGGGTTTCCGGCGCCTACGGGCATGACTGGGATTACTGTAATCAGACTGTA